GATTAGATGTAAAATATTTTGTTCTGCTAAATGTTTCTTCAAATGAAGTCTTCTTGAGAAACAATTAGGATTAGATGTAAAATATTTTGTTCTGCTAAATGTTTCTTCAAATGAAGTCTTCTTGAGAAACAATTAGGATTAGATGTAAAATATTTTGTTCTGCTCAAATGAAGTCTCCTTGTTATTTTTATTAACACTTTCAGAGGCTTGTTACTTGTGAGTTCATTTTTAACTTATTTTTTTAGTGTGTTAAGACTAACTTTTTAAACCATACCATTGCCATTTCGACCTCTATTAACCCTTTGTTCAAATGAGACTTCCATTATCTTCAAAAAGCCATTTAGAGGTCTAGTCATCTAGTGATTTATTAATGTTCAATTGTAAAGTGATTGAATTAAAACCAAATCTTATTTGTTATTGTACGTAATTAGTTAACAGTTTATTTTCTACTACTTTCTGTAGTAATTCAAATTAGGAACCTAATGTTTTATATTCTATGAAAACACAGTGGTATCATACACTGTATTTTTATATCATTTGGTATTTATGGATTGATGTATTTATCCATGTGTTCAGTCTTCATAGCACAGTTGTTCTGCTAGTTTCACACACATTTGTTTTTTTGTGGAAGCCCGAGTATATCAAAGTCACTGTGGGATGCAACCATGGCTTACTGTGACTTTTTACCTAGGGTTGAACACTACTTTTTGTTTCCAGTGTAGCTGATATTATGTTTTTATTTTTTAGTGTTATCATGAGTAAGAATATTTATGTTGTTTTTCAAGATGGCTCAAGATGCTGGTTCTTGTTCACTGGTAATTCGGCAAACGTGTCCAGAAGACCAGGGCATCTATACCTGTAAGGCCACCAATGCTAGTGGGCAAGCTGAAACTTCTGCTCGTTTGACCGTTTAAAGTAAGCACTAGAGTGCTTGTGTTCCCGACCCCAGACTCCTGCTGTAGTGCATCCCTAGAGCTTTTAACTTGCTGGTCAGATTTAATGTAACATTGCTTGACATAGGTGGTAGAGATTAAGTGACTGTTGTCACCTTTGGGTTATGCATAACTGTAAAAAAAAATCAAAGATGCATTAGACAGATCATAACACATGTACAAGTATATTGCGCTTGTGAATGTTTTATTTGGTTATTGGATTGTTTCTTTTTCATTTTTGTCCATGATGCCCTTTGTTAGGTTTTGGGCACTGTTTGCATGTACTTGTTTGTTTCCTCTCTCCTTATGTTTGTGACTGATTTCTGTTTTTTGTTCATTCAATCTCAAACTTCACTATAATTTTTTTAGTTTTTTATATGTTGTGTAAACAGCAACACTAAATTGTGGCAGTTAATTACTGTAACAAATACCGAAGTGAAAACTTCAGTTAATTAATGATTTTGATCGTATTGTAACAAAGATGTTATGATATTTGTGAGACTACAAACATTTTTTTAAATTCAAGTAATTGATCTCTAGCATCATCCGTAGCATTAGCTAACTTCATAGAAGTTGTTATTTCTATTGATGTGTATCCAGAACTGAAAATGAAAACATGTGTTCTATCATTTGATACTTTTTTTACATCTAAAGTAAAGTTTTCATAACTTAAAAGATGTTGGAAAGCCAATAAAATATGTAGTAGTATTTTTCATAAAATTATATTTTGTAAAATACTCGAAACCATTCAATGATATGAAAATTTACAGACTTTCTGAAGTTTTATAATCATGCAATAATTAGCATTTTTTTAAGTATCACGAAGTAGTGTAGTACAGTTTGATTGTTTTTTAATTATTTATTTTGGCCATCATACAAATTCACGTGTGTATATTGTTGCATGGAGTGATAACGCTCAAATTTGACTTTGTTTAACACAAACTGGAGTTTAATACGAGACATTTCTATAAACGTAAGTAAACTGACCTGTATCTCCAGAATATAACTTTATTAGCTGAGTATTTCGTTATTACAGGGAATCCCGACGACGCTGTAATAGTGAAGTACTGAGCTAATACAGTTACATTCTGAAGATACAGGTCATTTTATTTACGTTTGTAAGTTGTTACATTATATAACAATTCTTGTCATCATACACAACGTTAATTCATTGATGTACTAACGAAAGCAGCTGCTTCATTTCAGCTTTGCTTTATTTATTTTCGTAAAGTTAAAAAAAGGTTTTGGTGACATATATTGTCAGACATGAATATAAACTTGGGTGTGACTGTAACAAGAAAAAGATGCTAAAATTCAGAGTTTCCTAACTGTTCACCTGTGCATAAAGAGTTTACGTAATGTAAGTCTCGTACAGTAGGAAAACCAGTAGATATTGGCCTCTTTCGTTAATATCAGCCACTGAGCATTTCAGTATTGACATGGTTCCAACTCTTAAATTAGAAAACCTTTCATCTCTTTCCGTGGAGGATAAAAATAACTGTAAAGTTCCTCATTTGGTTATATGAACAGTAGTTGGATATATAGCTCATTCCGAAAATTCCCCGAGAACAAGAAAAAAGTTTAGTTCACGTGCTTAGTCCTGTTCTGATTTATCTGTAGCTTCTTTTCTCAACTATCACATAGTTGTTATTGTTACGGAACAGACCCAGGTTCGAACCATTGTCTCATGTATATCCTACGTTATATTAGCTGGAATTCTTTGTGCACTGTTTTTTAGTCGAGACACTAAGTAACCCGAATCGATTTTACTATCATTGTTACGAATTTTGTATTGTAGAAATGTCAATAAAGTTTTTGTTATTGTTGAAAATCATTGTTTGTCATATTTTGTTTTCAAAAACAACTTAATTAGAAAGCCTTTCGCAAACTTGTAATTTAAAATTGAATGTCTATTTTTTAACAGTTTGAAATAAGGATTATGTCGGTTTTTTTCACAGTTAATAATCAAACAGCAAATAAAGTTTGACTCCTTGAAATGAAATTAAAGATTCTCATTAAAAAGAAACTCAATGATATATATTTCATATTTCCTGGAAGTGATCGTGATTCTGTTTAAATATGTAATGAAAAGTGTTAAAACCTTGCCAAAAGGAACTATGTACACTCTGAAGCCTGCTGTATTGCCAAATAAAATATCTAAGTATTATTCAAATTGCGATTTAATTCAAGGTTTACAGAAACTAGCCATATAAGATATTCCAGACTTAGCATATCCAAATATTTTACATAATTTCATATTCATAAGAAGTTGAACAAAGTAATTTTTCAGATTCTGAGTTTTTCGTTTATTTGGTTCTAAATAACGATGTAACTGTAGATGAACATGTGAGTACAATTACAGTAAAGAACATTTTTTTTTCGACAAACCATAGAATAACTAAACACACGCTATAAATATAATGATTTATAATATCCGCTGCGTAATGAAACATTTGCTTCATTAAATACGATGGGTGTAATATTAGTGTGTTATTACGTCATGTATCTTGAGTTTCTGTGTCAGCAGAACGAGATAGCATGTATGTTGATAAGAGGTTAGAATGTCTATTGTGATGTACATATTTGTAATGTATACAAAATAAACTCGAGCGTGGATTCTACATAAAACATTGAGAAGACATAATATCAACAACAGAATCAAATGTAGTCAAATACATTTTTTATTTAATGCAAAAACAACGTTGTGGATCTTAGATTAAAAAGTTACTTACAGAAGGACAGTGGTTGTTAATTCGCTGCCAACAATAAAATAAGTTGTGGATCTTAGATTAAAAAAGTTACTTACAGAAGGACAGTGGTTGTTAATTCGCTGCCAACAATAAAATAAGTTGTGGATCTTAGATTAAAAAGTTACTTACAGAAGGACAGTGGTTGTTAATTCGCTGCCAACAATAAAATAAGTTGTG